GGTCAAGGGCAGCCCCATGTAGAGAGAATTACAGTAGTCTAGTCTCGAGGTGACCATCACATGGATCACTGTGGCCAAGTCGTTGCATTCGAGGAAGGGAACCAACTACCTAATCAGCTGAAGATGGTAAAAGGCTGACTTAGCGGTGTCTGCTACTTGGACCTCCATCGTTAGGGAGGCATCCAAGAGCACTCCCAGACTCCAAACCTCCGATGCTGGCACTAACGACGCCCTGTCATAGGTCCGGGGTGGTATCCCTAACCCCGGGCCGCCCAGACAGGCTGTTTTTGTCTGATTCAATTTCAGTCAGCTTAGTCTAAGCCAACTAGTCATGGCTTGTAGGGCCAGGTCCAGATCTTCTGGTCTGGAATCAGACTAGCCACCCAACAACAGATAGAGCTGGGTGTCGTCCACATACTGGTGACAACCCAGCCCATGCCTCCAGGCAATCTGGGCAAGGGGGTGCATATAGATGTTAAATAACATTGGGGAGAGTACCGCCCCTTGGGGCAATCCACAAACCAGCAAGTGCCTTTAGGACAGCTGTTCCCTCAGTGCCATCCTTTGTCCCCGACCCTGAAGGAAAGAGGAAAGCCATTGTAAGGCAGACCCCTGAATCCCAGTGTTGGTGAGGTAGTGGATCAGTAGCTGATGGTCAACTGTGTCAAACGCTGCCGACAGGTCCAACAACAGCAGCACCGCTGAACCACCCTGATCCAGGTGCCTCTGGAGGTCGTCCGTGAGGGTGACCAGTGCCGTCTCTGTCCCATGGCCTGGGCAAAAGCTGGACTGGAAGAGATCCAATGTGGAAATGTCATCCATAAAACTCTGCAGCTGAATTGCCACTGCCCTCTCAGTTAGCTTGCCCAGATAGGGCAGATTGGAAACCGGACAGTAATTAGCCAATTTGGCCAGATCCAGAGATGGTTTTTTAGGAGGGGGCGTACCACCGCTTCCTTAAGTGCCCTAGGAAACGGTCCCTTGGAGAGGGACATTGATAATCTCCCTTAGGGCACCTCATAGCCTGTCGTGACCAGCTTTAATTAGCCTCGACAGGCATGGATCAAGGCTGCAAGTGGTCGGGCGCATAGTTGCGAGTAATTTGTCAACTTCCTGTAGGCTGAGCAGACTGAAATAATCCAAACCCCAACGAGAAGACGTGCATGGAGCCTTGAGTTCACTCACTGTCTCAGTTGTGGTGGGGAGGTCATGGCGGAGCTTTCCAGGTTTCCCCATGCTTTGCTCTGATCTTTCCCAAAGTTGGTTTGGTTTGATTTTTCTGTAAAGATCTCAGTCCATATGCATGCCTTGTGAATGGGAAAGTGCTTTTGTGAACGTCCTGGCTACACGGGTGCCATTTTTCTTGTCTCAGTCACTTGAAGACCCCTCCCTGCACAATTACCCTTTAGATGGGTAATTGCGGTAGTAATATAGAAATTACCAATTTTTTAAGAGCCAAAATAAAAGGGCTTCCTTTGGTGTGGGGAAGGGGGTATGTTGATCACAGGAGTCTGAGAAGAGAAAGTGCCAAAGACTGCTACATGGACACTGTTGCCACTGCAAATACCTCTGAACAGCAGCAGTAGCTAGATGGAGAATCAGTTCTGTATGGTCTGAGCCTTAGTGATGTACAAAAAGGAGGGAGGAATAACCTACAACTAATGCAAAAAAAAGCAAAAAGCAAAAAAGATGGATGTATATCTATGAAAGACAAACTTATTGTTATAATCCAACTTACTGTTATACATTCTAAACTAAATAAACATTCAGCCTTAGTGAATCTTTTCCTTATGTTTTATTTTTTTCCCTTTGAAAGCAATGCCATTTTCCCCTCAGCATCATTACAGAGTAGGAGGTCATACATGAACATGCAAATTTTCTGTCCTGAGGCAGCCCTTTATATGACTCCCATGCACCTTAAAGGTTTGTTGGGCTGCCAGTCTACAGCATTGGCTACCAGGCCAATGTTCCCACAATTGATTTTCTTTTTTTAATGGAAGTAGCTTTAAGGAACTGCAGTCATGGGCAGGAGAGCAGTGGGAGGTCTCTTAACTCTCCCCCCCCCTGCAGTTTTACCAATCAAAAACAGCCACAGAGATGCTCCTTTGTGCTCCCATAGAGTTTTACTTGTAATAATACTTGGTTTCAATTCCATGGAGGGAAAACAGCTAAAGAGGAAGACAATTTGGAAGGAACAGAAAAGCAGCCAAATGGGAAAGAGCTAAGTGTGTCTACATGCCTGCCACTCTTCAAGACTTTGAAGGGAACCTTATTAAGACTTTCTTACCTGCATGTGTACATAACTTAATTTATTGAAGTATATACATTTTAAGATTGGGGTGTGCAGATTTTATTGTCATGAGGAACACATCTGGGTTTCCACCAGCTTTAGGGGGCTCCAAGGCTGATGCTGTCTTGCTGTTTTCAGTGCTATCATGTCACGTGTATTTGCATGTAGTGTGTAGGTTGCGTTTCGATATTCAGTAAGTCATTCTTGTTCACTGAAGTAGGGCTGACTTATTTGGTATGGGGGGAGAGGTAATTCATTAACCTCTTAAACAATAGAATTGTGTTCCATCCTGTGTCTTTCAATCATGGGAGACACTAACATATACTTCCTTATTTCCTCTTGCAAGTGCTATTTCCCAGTCAGTATTCTGCCAACTGGAAACAGCCTTTCAGTATACATGAATTAATTTGTCTTCATCATATAAGTCCTTATGGATGTTTAAGGAGGTTATGTTCATCTGTGTTACTGTTCTACCCTCACATCGTGTGGGAAGGGGGGTATGCTTATTCAAGACTGTTGGATGAATATAACTTATGTAGATGCTGCCTGAAAGTCCCTTTCTGTGGTTAGATCCACCAGCATTAATCCGTTAAGTAATTGCTACATATTTAGTAGTTACTGGTTGTCGGAATCCTCCCTTCAGGCTTAACAGGTATGCAAGAGAAGCTTCTCTTAAAGTTACACATTTCTTCCACACAATAGTATATCAGGCATATTTGCCTCATAAATAGGCATTTGTGAGGGTTTTAATGCGCTAAAATGTTGTAACATTCCATCATGCACAGAGCCAGGCCCATCCAGTAGGTGCACCTAGGCAATTGCCTAGGGCGCAGCTGGTGGAGGAGTACCAGCAGCCCCTGTCGCTGCCCTACTCGCCAGCGTGCAATGTCATGTCTGCAGCAGCAAGCAGCAGACCCAGGAGCAGACCCGTAGCCATGGGGGGCTTTTAAGAGTGGTGCCTCCACGAATGACTCCCAGCCCTCCCTGGGAGGATGCCAGAGCCTCTCCTTACCCCCGACCCCCAGGAGCCTTGTCAGCAAAGATACACACCTGCCTGCCTCCTCGGCTGTCCCTCAGGAGCAGCATGGTGACTGGGTTGGCCTACGCAGGTGCAATGAGGCGCCAGGGTGGGCCATTAGTGTAGCCCACCCTGGCACCTCACTGTGCCTGCACCAGGCAGGCCAGCCACCACGCTGCTGCTGAGGGAGAGCCAAGGAGACAGGCAGGCAGGGCAGCAAGCAGAAAGAAGTGTCATGACACCTCTTTCTGCTCGCCACCTGCTACCCTGCCTGCCTCCTCGGCTGCCTGCCTGCCTGTCAGTCACTTCCCAGTAATGTCACAAGTGATGTCACCACATCAGGGGCACGCCCCCCCACCCGCACAAAATGTTTTTGGCTATGGGGCTGCCTAGACCTCATGAGTGGCCTGCTGGGAGCCTGCTCCATGGCAAGGGCAGGGGTGGGCCCTCTTCCACCTTCCCTCACGCATCCGGCTGTCCCAAGGTACAAGGGGGGCAAGGAAAGTGGGCAGTAGACTCATCTCAAGTTGTGGGGAGGGTGGCAAGGAGGGCAAGCAATGATTCTGGTGCATAGGGAGACAAAAATCCTTGGGCTGGCCCTGATCATACAGCTGCCTTGCATGCACTGGTGACTCTTTTAAAGAAATCAATTGACAAGAAGTGCCCAGGCTTCAATTTTGCAGGTATTTTCAGGAGCATCTTTTTATGCTGGGCCTAGAAAAGTTAATCACTCAGGCACAGGTATAAGAAACTAGAGGCACCAGGAACACAAGCTGTCAGTAACATTCCTATGTAAGGGCTGGAGTAACTCTACATTGGACGGCACTGTCAGTATCATGCCAAGAGGGGTTATACCATTCTAAGTCCCTTGAAGTCGACAGGTTTAGGGCCAAACTAAATGCTACTGTTTTTAAAGTGTTGGTTCTGGGTTCCCCGAACCCAACTTGTTTTCCCTGCAGCCAAACAACAGCTGGGAGGAACAGCTTCTTTAAAAAAAGGGGAGGAGGTGAGCCCAAACAGGTTTGGGGTGGGACTGTGGGGGGGAGAGCTCCTGCCCCCCCCAGCTGTTTTCCTGCGTGAAAACTGTGCAAGAGGGGGAGTTACTTTCCTCATTTTGCTGCTTGCTGCAAAAACAATAGCCCTTAGATGGGAGTAACTCTGTTTAGGATGGCACTGTAAGTCATTTACATTAGCAATTTATTTCATTATTTTCTATGTACTATACCTGGAGGTGGATTTGGAAGGCCACTTTCTTGTCAAAATTAATGTTTGTGGCCATCTTAGCAGTTTTGTGTATTAAATTTTACTGAATACAGGGTGATGCTGCAGTTAAAACCTTCTTAATAAATGTAGACAAGACTGGTACCTTGGCTATGACTGGCGTGTACACCTTTTAAGTTTTTGGTGTCAGATTAAAACCTTTTTATTTTGCAGTGATTTTACAGTGTTCATGTTTTTGCTCTATTCCTTTGTTGTTGTTTGGACAGCTTTATCAACTGTTACTGAATTTGTTTTAACTAATGTTTGTATGTATGCTGCTAAATTGCTTTAATGATTATTTGACCAATTTTGTGCTGAACTTGTTTTAAGATAATTCTTAAATTGCAGTGTCGTTCATTTTTTTGATATTATTGACAAAAGTTTATTCCTTAATTTGTTTTTACATATTATGATGTATGTCTTTCTCATCAGGTGGCAGTGAAAGTCATTGACAAGAAAAGAGCCAAAAAGGATACTTATGTCACCAAGAATCTGAGGCGAGAGGGACAGATCCAGCAAATGATCCGGCATCCTAACATTGCTCAGCTACTAGATATCTTGGAAACTGAAAACAGTTACTACCTTGTCATGGAGCTATGCACTGGAGGCAACTTAATGCACAAGATCTATGAGAAAAAGAGACTAGAAGAGCATGAAGCACGCAAATATATTTGGCAGCTAATTCTAGCAGTTGAACATCTACATCGTGCTGGGGTGGTTCACAGGTAATGTAATAAAACCTATACTTTCTCCACTAGTTCATACTGTGTTAAAAAAACTAATACAGCTGAATGTAGAAATTTGTTTGTTACTGGCTAGAATTTAAGGAAGTGTATTAAAGACCTCCCCAGGGCAGATGTGGGTCACCAAACCTTCATTACATGCATTAAAGCAGTGGCACTCACTTCATGGCTTGTAGAGAACCACATCTGTAGTTTTCCAAAGAGCAACATAACTACTGTATGCTCTGTGAACCACCACACCTCTGTGCACCCACAACAGTATAAGATATAACTATTAATATTAAGTGCATATTTATAGAGCTGGCATCAGCATACTCTGAGGTGGGGTAGTCGCCAGGGCTTAGGACTTCTGGTGAGGCCGACTGCCCCCCCCCTACACTTCTGTGTGCCTGTTTTTCCCCATCTGTTTGCCTGAAGTGCTCCAATATCCATGGTCCCAGCTGCCCAGTGTCATTGGGGAAGGGCATGTGGGTGGTACACAATGGTAGCACCCCTGGTGGCCATGGCAGCAGCACTCCCAGCTTCATTCACAGGCCAGTGGTGTTGGGAAAAGATTGTTCAGCTTTTGCAAACAACTGAACATGGGCAATGAGGGCTTGCAAGCAACAGGATGCACAGGCACTTGGGAGGCATGCAGGTCATGGGGCCCCCAGCACCCTGAACCAACCCTGGTACTTGTATTTGGGCATCTAGGATACCCTCTCCACACTACTGAAGAACCTTACCCAGTCCTCGTGTATCTGGAGTGACGGACAGGGTTTCCCTGTCAGCATTCTTGTTCTCTCTTCAGCTTGGACACAGCAAATTTGTGGCTGGAACAAAAAGGGGAGTAAAACCACCACGAGCTCACTGTGGCCAGCTTGCACTTTTCACGGGAAGCTGCTGTGGTGCATGGTGCTTGTGGTTTTGCTGTCTTCTCCTCAGCTGGGTTACAGTCCTCCTGGCAGCCACTGAGGTGCTGTAATGAGAATGCAGAGGCTCTTCCGGTTTATGGCAACACGATAGCGGACGTTTCTCCTGGACCTCAGGGGAAGTGATCCACACACCACCGGTTTGGAGGGGGGGCACTGGTCGCCACCTCCCCAGAGCCTTTGTGAAAGGCTCCTAGCCATGGGGCTTTGAAAGGTAGCCTCTTCGTCAGCGCGTTGCTGGTTTGAATTGAGGCGCTCTTCCGCCCCGACGGTCCTCCTGCTGCTGCGTCCTCAATGGAACCAGAGCCGCTGACCAGGACAAGTGTTGGAGATGGGGCGTAAAAAACATACCTTGAGCGAGGTCTTCGGACCATCAGTGAACAGTGAGTAGAGTTAAATCGAAATGCCGAGAATGTAAAAGAAAGCCCCCCTGGAAATGACGAGACGAGCGAGTGGGGGAGGGGCCCTTCCCATACACACAAAGAGAATAGCGATTTGCCAAGGGGGAGCTGAAGAAAAAGCATTGAAATCTATATTAAGAGATCAACTAGAGCACCTGTAAGCGTTTGGATGAATTTCAGAGACTTTAGCAAATTTTCAAAAAAGTAAACAATCCATAAAAATGGTGTGGGAAAAAATTGGAGAAAGACAGACAAGCAAAAGTGAAACCGCCGGGGAGCATGAGCCAGCGGCCGAAAGATACCACTGAGTTTTCTAAACTGTTAGCGGACTCTTTGCACCCTCTACTGGACCAGATGATGAACATCAATCAACAACTGACAGCTTTAAACCAGAACTTTGCAGCTCAGCAGCTCAAATTGACTGAGACTACAAAAAAGACAGAGCAAACAGCTGAGAAAGTGAAGGAAATGGATGCCAACTCCAAAAAGGTTAAGAAAAAGGTTCAAATACTGGAGAAGAAGCAAGCTTCAGACGAGTATCAACTTCTGCAGCTACAAATGGAAAAAGCTAACCTAGTCCTCCGGTTCCAAGGGGTCCCTGAAGCAAAAGAAGAGAATCTAAAGCAACTGCTGAGTGATGCGCTAGCCCCAATCACAGATTTAAAAGCGGAATACCTTGTAAGCAAAATGGATGTGGTTTATAGAACCTATTCCATTTATATCAAGAAAAATAATCTGCCTGGGGAAATAGTGGTTAGATTCTCGAAGAGACATGTGAGGGACCAAATCCTGAAAGCAACTACAGAAACGCCCTTGAAAATTGGAGGCAACAACAAAAGATATTCCATTTGAAATAAGGAAGAAGAGGAAGACGTACAAGGACTTGATCCTATTTTTACAAACAAACAGCATTCCTTACAGATGGCTGATCCCCGAAGGCATCACTTTCAAACTGCAGGATAAAAAAGAAAAAATTGACTCTGTTTCTAAAGCGCGTGAGTTCCTGAGACTGCAACTGGGAGAGTCCGGTGAGGACGGCAAGGAAGAAGAAGACAGCAAACCTAGTGATGAAATGGACTCCGCTACTTCCGATGAGGATTCTGTCTCCGAAAAAGGGGCATTAGCCCCTAAGCAAGAATATCAATTAAGGATTAGAAAAGATAAAACAAAATGAAGGCTGAAGAACTCTGAGTTGTGCCTTAAGGCCTTAAGGTTATCAATGATGCTCTTGTGATTTTCTTTAAATGGTGAAAACAATGGTTTAAAAGAGAAATAATATAGCATGATCGACTGTGTTCAATGTAATCATAGCATTTTAGATTAACACTGATACAAGCTATTGTAATGATCTCCTATTCTTGGGTTTTTCGTTTGGTTTTCTTTCCTTTCTCCCATAGATGTAGTTTTCCCTTCCCTTTTTTTCGTTGTAGTTTATCGAAAATGCAATAAAAAATCCCCTCCGGGGGCTTAAAAATAATTTTAAAAAGAGAATGCAGAGACTGAGAAGCAGGGGTCTTTTTGTAGAAAAAGAGCTCCCGGAGCTCATTAGCATAACTCATTAGCATATGCCACACCCCCTGACATCACCGGAAGTGTGTCATAAGGCCACACCCCCTGACATCACCGGAAGTGTGTCATAAGGCCACACACACACACACCCCAAGCACCAAGAACGCAGAGCATCACTGCGCCAGAGATAAGAACATACGAGAAGCCATGCTGGATCATCACCAAAAAAACCAGGGGCCCTCCGGAGGTCCACCAGCAGCTTGTAGTATTTCCATTCCTTCAGCAGCAGCTTCTTCAATCAGCAGTCTAAGAAGATATTATTATGGAACAGCACCAATACTTCCTGATGCTGGATGCTTTAATTCAACGTATACTACACAGACATACAAATCAAGTATGTCGTTCCCAAAAAAACTGCCCACAGGAAAACAGCTCTCACTATTAGAAACTTACACTTTCTCCCTAAACTCAAAACTTCAGAAAGAAAACTCCAGCACTCTCCTTCTTGGAAGAATATCACACAATTCATAAATCAAACCATGCTCCCAACTGGTTTACTTCGCTGACCACACAAAGAAAGATCTCAAGTCAGTACAGATAGATGAAGATGGGGACCAGGCTTCTCCCCCTCTTATTTTTTAAGAAAAGGAAAGAGATTCTGGGGAATGAGATACCTCTCTTAGTGCCTGGCAGAGACTGAATGTCCCTCCTTCCTAACTGTGTAGGAAAGAGAATTAAAGCAGCTAGGTCATGAGATGCTTCTTGGCAAATAGGAATCCTGGGAAACCACCTTCCATAATGACTCTCTTCCTTTGCCACAAGTTTTTGCCTTCTACTTGGAAGAAAAACTCTGTGGCTCCTGACCTTTGTGATGGTCTAACAGATATATCCAGCCTACAGACTTCCACTGCGACTGCCCCTCAAAATAATTCACTGTACCACCTCTCAGCTTCAATTCCTTATCTATATACAGTGAGAAGAATAAGAAGGCTGAGGAGAGAAACACAGTTAAGATGTGCAGTAAATACCACTACAGAAGCTACTACTAATAATAACCTTTTTTAAAACCACTCACTAAACAGGAATAGACCCATACCTGTTATTTGATACTCACACTCTTATTAGGGACAGTCTGGTGGTTTTACTACTACATCAAGAGTGCTGTTCTAACCTATGGAGCTGGGAAAGACCATTCCTTGCCTTAGCCCTTAGGGGAGAGCCCCCTGAGCTGGTGAATATGCTCAGGGATAGGCGCCTTTTCCTTACTCCCTTCATTCAGAAGCGGTCCCCAAACAGAGACAGCCGGCTACCTCCCTCTCTCGTCCCTAGAGACCAGCCTAACTACCATTGCCTGCGGAGGCAAAGCGCAGGCTGCTTTAATATCTCCATGTGCTTGCTGACAGCCTCCCACTCCAAAGCACCAACAACCGCTCCTTAAGGTGGCACCGGCCATCAGTCGGTGACACTTCAGCCACGGTTGCTCAAGCAAACTCAGCGCGAGTCATCTGCCCGTTTTCTCCCAAAATCAAGTCATCGTCTGCACCCCAAGGTAGTCCGGCTGCTTATCTTTGTCAGCGGGGGAGAGCACTGGAGGGCACAGACCACCTACTCTGTTTCTCTTTCCAGCCCACCTTAAAAAGAGCATGGAGTAACTAACTTTGCGACTAGACCTTGGTGTTTGTACACAGCAGAAAATGTGCAGGACTTTAAAGGTGCAGTGACACCCCCCCCTCCGATTTTAGTCTTACTGGGGGGTGGGGAGCGGTGTTTGATGTGAGCAGGGCAAAAATGGAGGCACAACAACGGGACTATGTGGGTTTTGAGGGCAAAGGTGAGCTCCGCGCGGACAGAACGAAGCAGCAACGGGGGGTGGGTGGGGCCTCGTTCTGTCTGCGTGGGAAGAGAGGAAGCTTCTCGCCCGACGCAGTTCACTCCCCTTTTGTCCCCGTCCCGTGTCCTGGAACGGGAAAACAAACTTCTCCCCGGGCAGGGAAAAGGGCAGCAGCTGAGCAAGGGGCGGGGCAAGTCGCCTCTGCCTAAGCGATGGGGCAAGCCACCCAGGCGCTTCTGGCCCCAGGAGGGAGCCCCGGGCCAGGCCCCAGCCCCCCTGCGGGAAAGCCACGGGCTGCCAGGCTCTCCCTGCACAGCAGGGAGAGGGATT